CTTTCCCTGTGAAATCAGTAATTGATCAGATTCAGTGACTGGTTTTAATGGTATCCATTCTCCCCTCTCTCTCTCTCCGTTAGTAATCCAGCTGAGCCACAGTGTCCCATCCAGCTTTGCGGCTGGCGGGGAAAAACGTCCATCCGTGCCTTCGTCCCACGCAACGAAAGATTTCATTACCTCCGAATGTTAGGTGTAGAGGTCTTCAGAGACAAACAGGGCCAGGGTCATAAACAAAGAAACGGGGAAGACGAGGGTAAAGAAGAGACGGTGGATGAGATGGGGAAGGTCGCAGGAGAGCTGGATACGGAGAACGGTGAGAACAACACAGCATCGGCACCGAAACTGGACAGCAGTAACGTGGGATCGAGCAGCTGAGAATTTTAGGGGGGGACAACGGAGGAGAATAATTTGAACTGACTTGAACATGTCGTCCAAGCTCCGAGAGCTGCTGAGCACACCGTGTGGTAGAGGAGGGGTAATGCGTTTCCAACACTGAAGTATCCCCTCCCGCAGATGGACTTGTTGAGGTTGTGTTTTTTATGAATTATTCAAGGCGACATCTGGTTTAGTTAAGGTATCGTTTTTTTTTTTTATTTCCATTTTGACCGGTGGCTAGTTTTTTCCCGTGATGTCTTTAACTTTTATGTGAACTGAAATCTCGTTTTACACCTGCCAAAGGGCAGGAATAAAGAACTGAAACCCAGTGATTGTTGTGTGATTGTAAACAAACGGAAAAAAAAATCGATCTTATAAGTTTCACAACAGACTTCAACGACGACAGGAAGTTATGCGACGGGGGCATTTATTGACGTACTAGTCAACAAATGAAATCAATCGGTCAGCGACGAAATCCAACGAGCTCTCATTACGTCATGTAAACAAATGAGGGTGAACGCTAATCATACGTGTTAATTAGCTATATTGTGTCGAACAAACCGAACGGCGTATGCAGTTATCAGAGTTGTTCGATTGATAAAAACATTAGCTCGTTAGCTGACACCGGTGAAGCAGCCTAACTGCAGTGGAAGGCGAGTGGTCAGACGGACTGCCATCCATATCGTATTTCTGTTTATTACCCGGCCGTGCTGCCATGACAACAGGCACCATGACAACCCCTCACCTTTGCTAACGATGGATGACAGAGTGATCGCAGAGAACAACCTGTACTCCTCAGCTCTCCTTTCTTTCACTTGTCCCAACTTCTTACATAATCTCCCCTTTTAGGTCCGTACCATTTTTACGTTACATTTGTGAGCCTCTAATTTAAACGGCGACATGTAGTGGAGTCACTGGGTAAATGAAAAATGGTTTCGGACACTACTTCGGCAGTTAATTACGTTATCACTGTCGCACAATTAAAATGGACAGACGCACGGTGCTCCTCTCTGTCACAACTGCAATGCATCATGGGACATATTGTTTGGGTAGTGACCATCGGTTGTACACGGTAAATTATGGGAAACATTGAGTGCCCTTTATAGTGGACTACTTCTACTCACATTCAGACACCACTACGAAATGGGGTGCTACCTATGTAGTACACTATGTAGGATATAGGGGGCGATTTCGCACAGTCAATGACTAGGGATGTCTGATACTGTAATATCAGCCAATCGATAACACAACGCCTGGGTTTCGTCAAATGATGCGTGCCCTGAAAATAGTTTTGGGGATAAACGGATGTATATTAAAGTGAAAGTCACTAGATGGCAGCATTGCAGCTCTTTTAATTAATCACATACTCATACAGTGGTTTGTACAGATAAATAAATAAATATTACCAGGCCTATATTGGTATGAGTTGATATCGGAATCGGAAAATAAGTGTTTGGACAATATCAGCAAAAATGTAATATCCGACATGCCTAGCATTGACTTTAAGGAGTTACCTGTTTATAAACCCATCAACTTTTTCAAAGGATACTGGTGATGGAACTACTATTTATTTCCTAGCCTTCACTTGTACAAGGTTCATGTGGACTTAAACAGCAACAATCATCTGATTAAAGTTCAATTCTTCCATGGTGCTGCTTGTTACTTACTTACCAGGGTTTTAAATAAAGCACAATAAACCATTTGGTATTCAGTAGGTTCAACTTTGGGGAATCAGCTCAGGGCCATTCCCGAGCTACTGCGCTTACTTTCTGCTGTCACATTGATGGATATCATGTGTGCTTGATAGATTCATCCTTGTCAGCAGCACAGCAGAAAAGATGGGGTAGTCTGTCAGGAAGACATTTTGGGGTTAGTATTACCTGCCTGTTTCTTTAACTGTGCTGCCTTCACCGCCACCATATCTGTCTCTGTCTCGCTCTTTACATCCTCAGTTGTACTTCCTGTCTTTGTCGATAAATCACTGAAGGAGAAATCATAATATTTTCTGGGTCAATTAAATGAGACGGCCAGGTGAGTGTCAGGTGTGTAAAATTTCACATTCGAATTTTGTTGTTTGGAAAGGCACAGCAATTTAGCGTTGGGGTGCCAAACATAAGGCCCGAGGGCCAAAACCGGCCCACTAGGGTGTTCAATCTGGCCCGCTTGATGAATTTTTAAAATTACACAAACATTCCATGTTCAGGATATTTTTGTAAAATTATATTTCATTAAATATGAATAAATAGTAATAAACATAATATATGTTAATACATGAGAACAAATGGGGGAAACGTGGAATTGTAGTTATTTATAGTTAATTTATATGTGTAGTTGTTTGCATGAAAACAAATTGTGGAATTGTAGTTATTTATAGTTAATTATCTTATGATTGTACTGCTCCTATGTGACACCCCTGGTTTAGATCCTTTGGCAGACCGCTCACAGGAGGTAGTACACAAAAGTTCACATTTGATTTTTTTTTTAATTAAAAACAACAGATTACACATTTTTTATCATATACAAAAAATATTATTTACATTATTTACAGCACATGTAGTCTGCCTCAAAGGATGACTCAAAAACTGCGAAATGGGAAAAATCGCAAAGTAGAGGCGAGATAGTTATGATTATTATTTAGGTATATGTACTGAGTAAATATATATATATATATTATATGTATATAGAGTGTATATGTACTGTGATGTATTTGGATAATTTCCACATTACACCTGATCTCTTGGTGTGCTGTGGTTCGGTGGAACAGTGGTTGGGAATCACTGAACCAGAAGGGTTTGAGGGATGGTCAATGCGTGTAGAGCCCAGTATGGTAAGGTAGCAGTTGAACGTGATTTACTTTGACTAGAGTGCGTTCGCTGCCGAAGTTGAGTCAAACGTTGGAGTCAAACAACGCTGTCATTTGAACAACCGTGAAAACAGTCGGTGAATCCTTTTAATACATCTCTTTGATCTTTCTTCAGCCAAAGTCTCCTCATCCATAGATGCGTAGGCATTATCCACGTCAGATCCTTGACCAGCGGAGGCCAACAAAGTCTCCTCCGACGTGTCGCTTTCTAGGCCGGCTTCAAGCGTCAGTCTCCTTTGTCTGTCAGAGGAACCGTCACTTTTGTCGGAGTCATGGGCAACGGACGTGTTTTTATCGCCGCTTGGCAATTCACCTTTCGAATTGCGATTGTCCTGCTGGCAGTTTTGTACCGCCGAACTGGTTGAGGGTTCATTTTGGTCAAGGGCGAAATCGCTAGGAAATTGTTTCATGGTGATGAAAGGATGCGTCAAGGCTTCGTTGGGGGTTATTCTTTTCTCCGGATCTATCTGCAGCATCTGTTTGAGCAGACTCAAGAAGGCCTGCGTGTCCTCGAACTCTACAGTATGCGGACGGGTCAGTACAATTTGATCGAGACTGGAAAACCTCTCGCAGTTCTCCGGATCGTTCTGCATACATACACAGGTGTCTCTCAGCCTCCAGGAGTCTCCGTCTTTGGAGAAATGGTCTTTGGTGTGAATCCCGTTCTCCAACAAGTGATCCTCGGGGTTGCCTAGCATGTGGACGGTCTCCCTCATTATCTGATGCTCGCACGCTACTCTCGAGTAGATGTCAGTGCGAAGGTACATGTAAGCCATGGTGCAGCCGAGAGACCACATGTCCACAGCTTCACACAGATGCAGGCCCAGCATGACCTCGGGGGCCCTGTAGTTCGGGTTCTGTATCTTACTGCCGATGATCATTTCTGTGACGGGAATAGCCAATCCAAAATCGATCAGCTTTACCTTCATGGGGTGCAGTTTTCTGTCAAGAAACATTATGTTATTTGGTTTGATGTCAACATGTGCCAGACCTATATTCTTCAGAATGTCCAACGCCTCCAGCACCTGTCGCGAGATAATCTGAATCTCCGACAAATGCAGCGGCCGGGAAACCGTGGACATGAACCCGCTGATGGTCTCGTCCAGCAGCTCAAATTCCAGCAAAACTTCTTTATTTTGCGTGGAGTAGCCGTTGAACTTGACAATAGTGTCCGTGTCGTGGCCGCACTGCTGCAGATGCTTAAGGATTTCCGCCTCTCTTTTGCCGATCCAGGCGAATTTCTTTGGCAGGGTCTTCACCGCCACCGTCTCCTTTGTGTCCTGCTTCAAACATTGGAGCACTTTTCCGAAAGTCCCTTGTCCCAATGGACCCATCACTGTGTATCCACTGGATTCACTTGACAAGTCAGATAATTCGTCCTTAGTGGATCCTCCACTTTCTCCCGAAAGACTTTCAGAAATACTCATTTTTCATATTTAAAGGGTGATTAGTTTGAGGTTGTTGCGGTTTATGACGGTTGCATTGATGACATTACGTGAATCCCCTTGCGACCCAACATGGGTCAAACGGTCATGTTACAATGAGTAAACCCGACCTGTTTGGCTTTGATGGTTGGTTGCCTTTGATCACCGTCATTGATGGTTAAAATAGAGTGTTAGGCCACTAAGCGTAGAAGAAGGACTGGGAGTGAGGACTCAATTTAGACGATAGAAAGTGAAATTGAAAGTAAATTATTTGTCATGTGACACAGCAGCAAAAAAAGAGAGAGAGAAAGAAAGTGAAAGAGAGGAATAAAGCGACAGGTAAAATAACCAAGCGAGGGACGGTTAGCGCAACAGTGTCGAGTGGGGAAAAATGGAGCCCGGTTAAAAATATTGCAAATGTTGCTCACTTGTAAACTTGTATTTCGGCTAGCTCGTATCTTAAAGCACCAATGGGTTGAACACTCGTTTCCACGATAAAAAAATATTGCAAATGTTGCTCACTCGCAACTTGGAAAACTCGTATTTTGGCTAGCTCGTATCTTAAAGCACCAATGTAGTTACTGCGGGATTATGGGAGAAAGGGTGAAAATTGAAGATAGATAAGGGATCGTTGGAGATCTGGATAAGGTTGATGAAGGAAAGACAGAGTGTTGGTTAGAGTTTGAGACAGCGTGGAGAGAAGCTGGTGTTGGCAGCGCTAGTGGATACACAGCTTTATTTAGTGCATGCCTGCTGGTGTTGCCTAGTAACACAAAGGAAACAGATCCCTTTATCTTTTTTACGCCGTCTCCTTTTGCTCCTCGGCCTCAAACCCCTTCCCGAAAAACCCCTGACACGGGCACGGCCGCACAAAGACATTTCAGTACGTCTTGTCTCTTTTCTGAACTCTCGTCACACACAAAACCTGCACTGCTCAATCCCTACGACTGCCTCATTAGCAGTCAGGGTGGCTACTCTCCTCCTTTCAGGAAGATGACGAGAAAAGGAGGGCACGGAGAGGCAGGAGGAGCGCGACGAGATAGCGGAGGAGAGAAGGCACACTGAAAATCCTCTTGTGAAAGAAACGTCAAGGTTGTGGCAACAGCAATTTTTTTTTTTTTTTTTTTTGCTCTTGCCACATTTTAACATTTTGCTCTGGCTTGTTTTAAACCAGTGGCTCTGGTCTGTCAACAACCAACCTGCTGGCTGGCCTTTACGAGCCTGATTTATATTCTATATCTTAGTACAGCGCTTTTAAACACAAGAGTCAGGGAAGTCATTTGCTCCTGCGCCGTCCAAGGTTAGACTGAGGACACTCGGAGGACGTCCACGTGTACTTGCTTTGAATATAGAGTTTAAAAATGGGAGAAATATTACCACATTAAATCTTTGTCCCTGATTTTTAAAAAGTGGTTTTCTTGAGTAAACATAATAAATCTGATGAGCACACACTCGTGAGTTTTTTTTCTTCTTCTGTGAAATCCGAGAGGCTTCGTCCACACGTGCGTTCAACGGTGAAGTGCGACTGTGTGACTATACAGCCTATGTTCATGCACGCATGGCCTGGTGGCGGCGGTGAAAACGTGTGCTTTGCATTTTAATTACCTTCACTTTTGATGTTCGCCAGGCTTGCCTTACTTCTGTTTTGTTGTAGTATCACTGTTTTTTATTCTTCCGTATCACCTTGAGGAGGTACGCGGTACTGCCTGGTGTGACTCCACGTACATGTTCAGATCATATTTCGATTCACAAAACAACCACTTATAACGGAGAACCCTATCAGACGTTGGTGTTGAACTTTTTTTTTCAATAATCATTCAAAATATAAACTTTTCTTTTTAAAGGTTAAAGAATGTTAAGCGAATAAATGTAAGAAATATCGTCGTTGTCGTCCGATGTACGGTACCAGTTGGATCGTGTGTTGTTTGGTGACATTATTTTCAGGTCACTCAGCCTGACGGGTTATGTTCGAAATTGACAAAATTGATTGGTTAATGATTTTTATCCAAACACTAATGCTCATATTCAGTGATATATGAAATAAAAGTAATTTAATCCTGAATACTTTAGGTGTAATCAGTTGAAACAACAAAAAACCCCAACATTTTAATTTACTAGTATTAGCAAAAGTGGCATGTAGACACTTTGATGTTATGTAAAACTCTCTATTCCTTCCATTTAAAGTCTTATATTTTTATTTAACACATTAAATGAACACAACCAGCTGGCCTCATAAATGACACCAGGCGATTGGTGAACAGAAACCGCTGGAAACATCTCTCATTCCAGGAACAGCATTGGGCGTCCTCCTCTTGTTTATCTGACAGATGTTAGCCTATGGCTACGTCTATCAATTTTTGATGGAGCCTATTTATTCAAACACACACACGTGGTACGGATTATGTGCAAATCCGCTCGCTTGCACGACGCGCCCGCCGTCCGTCACATTCGTACAGCTCCGTATCAAAAGAGTAAACAAATTCATTATTTAAAAAGTGTTAAAGCAAGACACCGGAGCGCTGGGCAAAGATGCATAAAACATGCAGCGTGTATGGGAAGAAATCCTGCGGCCTGCCTTCAGTTCAGCCAACAGTGAAGCGAGGGCTGCATAAGACGTGCCTGATTAGTTTGTATTCTGATGCAGGGCGAGATAATTCTTGGTATTACCATGATCACTGAGTAGCTTGTGATACTTACACTGTCTATCTGGCGCTGTGCTCATTTTGAAATGACAGCTCTGTAGTAAATGCAAGAGGAGGGCACAATCTATAATTGATATAAGACGACGTAGCTCATTGGACGGCTCCTCCTCGAAGATCTCTGTGATTGTGTTTAGCTCTTCAGTGACCCTTCTAAAAGCATTACCATCGTGTTCCGCCTCTGGTCACATCAGCCTGATCTCGTACAGAGGCATTCTGGGAACCGTCCTTAACAGCGCGTGTGTGTCCGTGATGAAGGGCCAGCGGAAAATGGAGACTCACAAATTGCTTGTTATCTAATGAAGCAAAGTGAATTTTAGAAAAAGCAAGCACGACCCCTGCTTTGTTGCTGTTGCTCTCGTCTTTCCGCTGTTGTTTCTAATGAACGAGTGAATACAAAAACACAGGAAAGCTTATCACACCTCATTAACAAGCAATGCAAACTTAAAAACTCTAAAGTTCACGTCAAGCGAACGTAAACAAAGTCTTACACCAACCTTTTGTTCTCTGAGAGTTACTTTCACAAAATAAAAATGTCTGAGAGCAAACAGACAAACAAACTCAGTAAACTTTCTTTAGCTGAACATTTACAATTTTCATTTAAACATTACCAAAGTATTATTATTATACTTATTATTGTTGTTATTATTATTATTGTCCACAAAGAACATTTATGTATTTAAGGGCCCAGTATTGTTCCGCCATTTTAACCAAATAAGCTGTTTTTATTTTTAATTGTATTTTCTGCATAATGTCGCCGTCTACTGGTCAAATATAGCCCAACTGACTGCACTCTGTAAGAGTTTGGCAACCGTCATGACAGACAGAAACGCAGCATTCATTCTGTGCGGTAGCGTACTTATCTTTAGCTTTAGCTACACGGATATTAAACAGTAGAGAAATTATTTAAGGTTGACTTAGAAACTTTTTTGAATCATTATTATTTTTTATTCGTTGTTGTTTTAATTTTTAATTTGGTTTCCTAGTATCGAAAGATACCGTTTTGGCCTGAACCTGTTGTTGGCGGAGCTAGAATCAAACAACCGACCGAATCCCATCATAAAAGGTGTCTAACCTACCCTTGTGGAACATGACTAAAATAGATATCTTTCGATAATAGAAACCTAATGGAAATAATAAAAGAAAAGGATAAAGAATGATAATAATAATTCAAAAATTTTATATCGCAACCTTTAATATTTCACTATTTAATATCCGTGAAACTAAAGCTAAGGCTAAGTTCGCTACCGCACAGCGTGAATGCTTCGTTTATATCCGCCATGACGGTTGCCAAACTCTTATAAAGTGCAGTCGTTTGTGCTATATTTGACCAGTAGTCGGCGACATTTCGCAGAAAATAAAAAAATAAAAACAGCTTATTTATTCAACATTTTAAAATGGACAAGAATTAACATTCGAACTCTTAGAATAATAACTCTCGTACCTCTCTCTCAGTCACTGATGATCTATCAAAATAATAAAATGACTAATATGCTGCACTTTTGATACATTTTTAATATTTTCCTTTTGTATCACGTTATTATTCCACACAACTAGATCCCCAAAAATATATTTTATTCTCAGAAACACTTGAGTCTGTGGCCAACAACAGCGTCTATTGAATCTCCTTGTTGGTTTGGAAGACCTGATTGATTGACAGCTAAATGGCTTACAAACATGAAGAGAGTTTTTTTTTGGGGGGTCGTCTCGTATCACGTTCCCAGGAGTTTACGAATAATGTCTACGTTCCCAGGAATTTACGAATAATGTCTATTGACTCGGGTCGCAGAGTTTCGAGGTGAAAATTCTGAGGCAATGTTAGGATTTTTAAAAGTTCTTTTAACCCAACCCTTCATTAAGTTCTGACCCCGGTGTGACACACACACGCACACGTGCACCGTGGGATGAATGCACCAGAGCAGGTGTCGGATTATTACCATTGCTCATTACTGAAGATGCTGAGGAAACACACTTTAATGACTTTTCCCCTGCCTCATCAAAGTAGGACGGAGCAGAGGGAATGCGGAGGACACGGCAGACTGGAGTACTTCATTAAAATGTATGCATGAGTTGAAGAAAGCCACAGCAGAGCCTCACTCCCTCACATCCTCCCCCCCCGACCACCCGCCCCTGATGTCACATGAGCTGGATGTACTAATTAGAAATAAAAGCGTCAGATAAGCGAGATTTTTTTGAATTAAGCTGTCACTTTTATTGCACATTCCTGTTCGGTCTTACAGTGACCCCTTTTACCACCCGAAGCTCAAAGGCCTTAACGTCTCCGCCCAGCGCTTAAGTCGGAAT